GCGGCGCAGTGGCCGAGGGCGCGACAGCCACGGTTGACGGGGCGGCGGTGGTGTGGGCCACAAGCGCCTGCCCGGGCGAAGTAGCAGCCGGCGGGAGCGCGAAGAGGGAGCCGACGCTCCGTGTCCCGATCGGCGCCTGAAGGGAGGCGGCATCCAGCGGCCTCGAGAGAAGTGCCGCGAGGAAGGCCGGCAGAAAACCGGTGGCGGTGGAGCCGGACGCAGCGGCGGACGTCATAGCAGTCGGGCGACGGCGGCGGCGGGCGCGGCGGCGGCGGCGGTGGCGGCGGCGGTTTAGGGTTTTTAGGCGGAAGCGGACGTAACCTAGCGTGATACCATGTAAGACAATAGGCTTTGGGGGGAACCGGCACAATCCTCTAGGGATGGCCTATCACATATATATATATATAATGAGATGGTATACAACATTACAATATACACGTGTAAATACAGTCTAACAATCCTGTCTGATGCCTCCGTTTCAGCGATGGCTGCTCCATGACGTCTCGTGATTGATTCATCAGTTGGCAGGGGAGACGCTAGACTATATATATACGCTCCATGTTGGAACTCCGTCGAGTTCTCTGCTCTCACTCGGATACGGAGTGTGACCCGAGAGCTAGCTGGCTACTCGTTCCCTTTTTCGGCGGGAAAGCTAGCTGGATACAGTTCCTCTTTTTCTTCTTTATATTACAAGGATTGGGGCCCGCTTGTCTGCGATTGGTATTGTATATTGTTAGATTTTTTTTTATAACAATTGGTTTGACGTGTGTTGAGCAGAATAGAAAATCGTCTATATGCGTGGTCCGTAAGGGAGGATCAAGGGCAGTCACTGTATACACTATAATAAACAGATAGAACATTCTCCTGTGATCCCTGCATGTTTTTTTTACTCCTCCCGTTTCATAATGTAGTGTGTATAGATCTTTTTTCAAAAGTCAAACTTTAAAAACTTGATCAAATTATTAGAGGCAACTATTTATATGTACAATACAAATATATAAAGTGTGATTTTTTTCTTATAATGAATTTAATGATATAAGTTTAGCATTCTAGATGTAAATATTTTTCTTACAAATTTGATTAAAGTTTGTGATGTTTGACTTTTCAAAAATATATATATGCACAACGTCATGGAACAGATGGAGTATGGTAAAGCGAAAAAAACAATACATGATGAACATTTTCATAAATAATTTTAAAATGTTCATTTGGGTACTAAGACTAATTTTAAAAAAATTATGACTTTTAAAAAACATATTCAGGATAAAAGAGATTTTTTATAAAAATACATGATGAACATTTTGTTGTTAAAATGCAATGAAAAAAAATGAAAATGCACTATGAGATTCTTATTAAAACAAGGTGAACAATTTTTAAGTCGCAAGATGGAGACAAAAATATAAAAAACTCGTTACCGATGGAAGTTTTCACAGAAAAGTCTTTGAGTAGAATAACAAATGTGAGCAGCTAGGAGAAATAGCAAGAAAAAAAGAGTTTAATAGTCTGATTTCTATAAATGTTAAGTTGTGGTACAAACAAAAAATGGTATAAGTGTTAACTGGTTTAAGATTCGTCTATTTTTGCTAAACTTGTGAAATGATGGCAAACACTTGATTTGAACGAAAAAAGGTCAGTTGTGTGTCGAGGCCAAATGCATAACGAGGGTGGACTTGGAAAAAATAAAGACAAAGGGTCGGACTAGTTGTGTGTCGAACATGAGCTTGCAACTGGTGCAAAAGGGTGTAGCCATTTGTGAATAATAATGAACATGCAACTAAGCTAAGTCGTGTCGGACAAAAATAGTTGACCCCCAATTACGTGTTGATGATGGACTTGTAAATGACAGAAAATATTGATGACCCCCTTCCACCAGTTGCATGTTGATGTTGGAATTTCAACTAAGATAAAAACAATGTCGGACCCAATTGAGAGTCGAGAATGGACTTGCAACTGGGCCAAAAAAATGGCAGACCTGAGTTGCAAGTGCACCCCTCAACTCACAACTGGGGAAAATGATAGAATGTGGTTGTGTGTCGATTATGGACTTGCAACTGGGACAAAAGAAATGAAGTTCGGGCCTAGTTGCGAGCTGAGGGTGGAGTTGAAACTAGGGCAAAAAAGAGGTACGGCTCAGTTGTGGGACAAGAGGGTGGATTTGCAACTGGACATAAAAAGGAGTGGAGGTTGAGTTGCATGTCAAGAAGAATGGACTTGCAACTGGGAGAAGGAAAAACTTGGGGCCCAATTTGTGAGTTGAGGGTGGGCTTGCAGCTTGGAAAAAAAAGTTCGATGACTGCTGCCATGGTGTGCGACGACGGCGTTCTTTGAATGGCCACGATGATGTTGCGATGGCATGATTCAATGATCGCAACGATGCTATAGCAAAAGTCCGGATTGCTTCGACGGTGTGTTTCCATGTCGTATTTTCAACGATGCTACGACGGCAGCCTGGTTGCTCTGATGACGTTACGATGGCATATATGTTTTGACGGCCACGACGACGACTGAGGCATCAATGACGCTACTCTAAGCATTGCTATATCATAACAAATCATGACTTCATGCGCTTGCTAGTACCAAAATTCAATGAAAACCCACAATAATGTCAAAATATGGTGTTCTGGAATCCTTTTTTGGTGCTTGTTATGTGCATCCTCTTGAAAATGTTTGTAGCATCACCAACATGTAGGCACGTAGTAAGCACTACGGGTGAAGTGCAAGTAAAAAGAAACTATTAGACATTCACAACTTCAGGTGTCACGATAGGTGTTCACGTGGGGGGATATGTAGACAGTGCTCGCCACACAATCCCGTGCTATCACACGGCACACGGACGCGGATGACGAAGCCCAAGAATCATCAGACTTTTTTTAATCATTTTCCTAATTATAATGTATTAAATGAGAAACATACACGGGTGAACTTTGAGCATGGGAAAGTTCACGATCCAATTAACGATTTGAAAAATTAATACAGTACAAGAAAACTAAAGGTTTATTCCATTGAAAGATTTATAAAAAAATTGAATAAAGTATGATATTAGAAAAGTAAAGGATCCAATATAAAATGAGGTGGCGATTTAAGAAGTTAATATAGTACAAGAAACCAAAAGATTTGTTCAATTGAAAGATTTATAAAAAAAAGGGAATACAGTATAATAAGAAAACTAAAGGGTTTCTCTAATTGGAAAAAATGCGGTTTGTTATGGAAGGATAGCGTTAAAAAATGAATACAGGATTATAAAATTGATGGATTTATTTAATTGAAAGATTTTTTGAAAGTGAATACAGTATAATAAGAAAATTAAAGGATTTTATAATTAAAATTTTTGGTTTGTTATGGAGGGATATCGATTTAAAAAAATGAATACAAAAACTAAAGTATTTATTTAGTTGAAAGATTTATAGCAATTTAAAAATGAATATAGAAACTAAAGTATTGACTTAATTGACAGATCTTTCAAAAAGTGAATACAGTATAATAAGAAAAGAAACGGATTTCTCTAATTGAAAAAAAATGGTGGTTTGTTATGGAGGGATAGCGTTAAAAAAATGAATATAGTATTATAAAATTGATGGATTTATTTAATTGAAAGATTTTTTTTAAAGTGAATACAGTATAATAAGAAAATTAAAGGATTTTATAATTAAATTTTTTGGTTTGTTATGGAGGGATATCGATTTAAAAAAATGAATACAGAAACTAAAGTATTTATTTAGTTGAAAGATTTATAGCAATTTAAAAATGAATATAGAAACTAAAGTATTGACTTAATTGACAGATCTTTTAAAAAGTGAACACAGTATAATAAGAAAAGTAAAGGGTTTCTCTAATTGGAAAAAATGCGGTTTGTTATGGAGGGATAGCATTAAAAAAATGAATACAGTATTACAAAATTGATGGATTCTTTTTAATTGAAAGATTTTTTTAAGTGAATACAGTATAATAAGAAAATTAAAGGATTTTATAATTAAAAATTTTGGTTTGTTATGGAGGGATATCGATTTAAAAAAATGAATACAGAAACTAAAGTATTTATTTAGTTGAAAGATTTATAGCAATTTAAAAATGAATATATAAACTAAAGTATTAACTTAATTGACAGATCTTTTAAAAAGTGAATACAGTATAATAAGAAAATTAAAGGATTTTATAATTAAAAAATTTGGTTTTTTATGGAGGGATATCAATTTAAAAAAATGAATACAGAAACTAAAGTATTTATTTAGTTGAAAGATTTATAGCAATTTAAAAAGTCAATACAGTATAATAAGAGAAGAAACGGATTTCTCTAATTGAAAAAAATGGTGGTTTGTTATGGAGGGACTATAATAAGAAAAGAAAAGGATTTCTATAATTGAAAAAAATGGTGGTTTGTTATGGAGGGACTATAATAAGAAAAGAAAACGATTTCTCTAATTGAAAAAAAAATGGTGGTTTGTTATGGAGGGGCCCTAGGCCAGAGTGGGCCCATGGTGCAGCGGCCTGTCATCCTTCCACCGTTGGAAGCGGGCAGTAAACGCTGCTCTGTGAAACCAGCCTAACGTGGTGCCTGCCGCTTCAGGGCCTGAGAGGCCGAAACTTTCGCCCCAGCCACCCAGCCCACTACCAACTTGGAACGGGCAAGCCGACAAGGTCACAACACAGGCCCAGGCCCAGAGTCCGCACCAAACATCCACACCACCTTGATGCCCCCACATGGGTGACAAGCTCTCGTGACTGAGCTCGGCGATGCTAGCGCTCCAGCTGAGTATTTAAGCTGGTGTTTCCCTCTGTAAACTAGCAGGTGGGACTAAAGGAAGGGGTGCGGGGTGCGGACTGCGTGGTGACTGAACCGCCCACTGCCTGCCGCGCGTCGACGTCTCGGATCCCCTCAGCCTTATCCATGCACGCGCTAGCTCAAACCCAAGCACCGCACCGGCGCTCCCACACGCCGCTGGCGGCCGCAGCCCGGTGATCTAAGCTAAGCTTTCCCAGGTCCCAGCCAGCGCTCGAGGCCGATGCCGTTCGCCGGGATTGCCCTCGCGCCTCTCCTCGTCTCCCCTCTCGCGCCTCCCTCTCCCCGTGGCAGCGTTGCCGCCGTTTCTGCAGAGCCCGCGAGAAGGCGCCGCACTCTACGGCGAGTGCGGTGCCCCGCCGCAGCGGCGTCCGGCGGAGGCGAGCTTTCCCGCGCGACGCTGCTCTGGAGGGCGGCCAAGCTGCCCATCTACTCCGTGGCGCTCGTGCCGCTCACCGTGAGTTCCCCGCGGCTGCAAGTTCCCTTGCCAATGCGCTTAATCACGCAATTCAGAATTGTAACTTGTTAGTGTGCTGGCATGCAAATCAGAATGAGTATTGATCGCATCTATGGGGAGAACAGGCTAAATTGGAAGATTATTACTCCACATTTGGTGGTATGAAGCCACGATGACCTTACACATTTGCATTGACAGTTGCTGGCACTTGCAGGTAGGGACTGCTGCTGCTTATAACCATGCCGGGTTGTTCTTTGCCAGGCGCTACTCTGGCCTCCTGGCTGCTGCTGTCCTTGTGATCACATGGCTCAATCTGAGGTAAAACTCACCTACACAAATATACTCTGACAAGCAAAACGATGCTGATCGATATCAATAGCACTCTTCAACCATCCATTCCCCTGAACATGTTGCATTTTGACTCTACTGCAGCAATGACGTTTATGATTCAGATACTGGCGCTGATAAGAACAAAAAAGAATCTGTCGTCAACATTGTTGGCAGGTACTGCTCGTTTCCAGTACGGATTAGTAACATTCTAGTAAATGATTGCATAACTGTATTCAGAAACGAAACATTTTACAGTGTGACCTGCTGTGCAGTCGGGCATTGACACAATATGCAGCGAACCTTTCTCTTCTGCTCGGCATTGGTGGGCTATTTTGGGCCTTTGCAGAAGCAGGGGATGTCAGGTTCATCGTTTTGGTGCTATGTGCAATCCTCTGTGGTTATGTTTACCAGGTGAAATCTTCTGCCCCATTTTCAGGGAACCTCGTGTTTCTTTATGTTCTGTAATCTGTAACAGAATATATTTGCCTTTTGTGATCTGTTATGGGTTGTCTCATCTAAAAATGGCCTGATGCATTCAGTATTTCAGTTAATTTAGCAAAATGTAATTATGTGTTAATGCTTTTCATCTCATCCATGTGCAATTTTGCAGTGCCCGCCGTTCCGATTAAGTTACCGCGGCCTAGGCGAACCATTATGTTTTGCTGCATTTGGCCCATTGGCCACGTCAGCTTTCTACTTCTCAAACAGCAGCAGAAGCATTTCAAGGTACACTCTAGAGCAACTACTGTAGTTCTCAACTATACTAAGTATAAGCAGGAATCACTTTAGAGTATTGAGGGCATTAAGGTTTGACTTCAGTCTGTACACAAAATGTAAGGATCCAATCATAGCTAAGCAGTTTCTCTTGAAATGTTTGGCCTTTTGTCAGCGGGGCTGTGCTTCTCCCTCTCAGCAAAACAGTCGTAGCTTCATCGATTCTTGTTGGGTTGACAACCACCCTGATACTCTTCTGCAGCCACTTTCATCAGGTATGAAATGAACCCCCTCTGACATAATTGATCGATGCAGCAATTTTATCTCCATGAAATGGTCGTTAGCTGATGAACACTGATAATCTATAGATTGACGGAGATAGGGCTGTTGGAAAGATGTCTCCCCTGGTACTCCACTATCTCTTTTCAGCACATCTGATTTCACTTATGTACAAATTATCAGTACTACTTACAACATAAGTTCTTTGTGTGTGAACATATAAACAGGTCAGAATCGGCACCAAAACAGGCGCGACATTAGTGACGGTTGGGATCGGCGCCCTCTACACTCTCTTGGCTGCTTTCGGCATAAGCAGATGCCTCCCACCATCCTGCATTGTAAGCTAATGACCCATACTGTTCCTCTTAAGAAAATTACCTGAAAACACAGCTCCCACCTCCAACCATTGCTGCTGTACCATATTCTTAGGTCCTTGGCGCCATGACTCTCCCTCTGGGCAAATGGGTTGTGGACTACGTGCAGAGGAACCATGATGTAAATAGTCCTCCCTTCTCACACTTTCCTTTTTCGTCCTGAATCTTTTTTCTTCAGTTCACACCAACACTGGCTGAAGTTGGAAAAAACTGCAGGATGACACCAAGATCTTCATGGCCAAGTATTACTGCGTGCGGCTGCACGCCTTGCTCGGGATGGCCCTGGCTTCCGGTCTGGTGCTGGCCAGGAACGGCGTACTAGCCTGACACACATACAGACAGACAGATGGGTCACCATTGACAGTTGAGCCAGAGAAATGCTTCCTTCTTATTGCAGTCTCACAGACAGAAGGAGTAAAACACACACAACTTTTACAGCCAGTGCAATGCAACGCGATGGCAGTGCATCTGCGCAGTCCTCTCGCTGAAGAGAAGGCGGCCGGATTGGGCAAGCAGAGGTTCAGAGGCCAGTTGGTTTTCTGGCTCCAGCTTTAGTAGTACAGTACAGTAGCCTCTAGCGTCCCGTGATCTATAGTAGGTTTCTCTTCTGTCCGCGAGCAAAGAGAGGGCTAGGTAGCTTGGCGTGCTCGTCCTCGTCCGTCGCAGCTACTCGCACCAGGCTAGCTAGCTAGACCGCCGTTTGGTTTTGCTCCTGCAGCAGGGTATGAATTGAATTGTGATGAGCCAGGACGGGGCGAGTCAGTCGGGACATGCTCCGGCCCGGCCCTCTACCGACAGGAGGACGGACGGACGGACTGCCATTACTGCTCTCTTTACCACCAGCAGAGGCAGAGGCTGGTGGTGGCAGACCAGCTGTTCCTGTTCGTACTACGGCGCGCAGGCCAACTTGGTGCCTATCCCACCTTGCCATGCTTTGCTTTTATGTTTGTATCATTGGCTCCCACGTCTTGAAATTACACTGCAGTCAGTCAGGGTTTGTAATTGCAGACTTTACAGTACTTTTTCTCGAAATGGAGGCATCCCCCGCCTCTGCATCATGGTGATGCATGCGGCCATCTTATTAACAATCCATAATCGCCATAAAATTACAGCTCACAAAACGGAGCAGAATAAAGTATAATAAAAAAAGATAAAATACATGTGAACCAGTCAACCGGCACAATGAAGATAAAAAGGTTAAACTCTCTAGACTCATATCCTGTTATGCGAGCGTCATCCGAACCGGTTGAAGATAACCCGAGCTACCATCTCCCAATGGTTGCACCCAGTAACCAAAGGCTCTATGGAGTCCAGAGGAGTGAGTAAGGACCACGTATGGATCCAAGCTGTAGCTCTGAAGATAACCTGCAAAAAAGTTAAAGTGTGTTGTCTGTTAAAAATCATATCATTCATGCAGTTCTATATAGCTCATAATAGCGCACATATTCCAATCCGAATACGAGCCGCAGTAATCTGATCAACCCCAGCTAACCACGTCCCAAACAAAGACGCAATATCAACTGGAGGGTTAATATTAAAATCTAAATGAATCGTTCTCCAAAGTAACTTAGCAAGTGGACATTCAAGAAATAAGTGTTGTATTGTTTCGTCATGATTACAAAAACAACACCGCGAAGAGCCTACCCATCGCCTCTTAATTAAGTTGTCCTTTGTGAGTATCACTTGCTTGTGAACAAACCACATGAAGATTTTAATACGCAAAGGAATCTTAACTTTCCAAATATGCAGCGACCTTGATAGGGGACCAGAGTTAATGAGATCCATATAAAAAGATTTCACCGTAAACCTCCCATTCGTAGTTAATTTCCATTGTATTGAATCCGGCTGATCGGAGAGTTGAACTTCTATCAATCCCCGAACCAGGTGCATCCAGGTGGTCCATCTCTCACCAACTAACACACGTCTGAATTGGATGTTCAAGTGAATTGTTTGAAGGATGGTACCCACGTAATCTTCCTTACGTTGCACAATATTATAGAGTGTAGGATATTAGATGGTCAAGGGCGTCTCTCCTAGCCACGTATCCTCCCAAAATCTTGTTGACATTCCATTGCCAACCAAGAATTTGACCCTGTGAAAGAACAGGTCCTTCGTGCGCATAAGTCCGTTTCAGAACGGCGAGTCAGTCGGTCTCATGGTAACCTGGGCTAGTGTTTTCGAGTGCAAATACTTATTGCGCAAGAGTTGAGACCACATGCTCTCTGGCTCAGTCTCTAGTCTGTAAAGTCATTTGCTCATAAGGCATTTGTTCTTAATTTCTAAATTTTCAATACCGAGACCCCCTTGGTCTTTAGGTCGGCAAATGATATCGCATCGCGTGAGACGGTATTTCAGCTTGGCCTCATGAGACTGTCAAAAGAAGCGGGATCTAAAGAAATCAAGTTGCTTGTGAACTCCTTTCGGAATTTCGAAGAACGACAGTAGGAACATCGGCATACTAGGCAATACTGAGTTAATCAGGACTAGCCGACCTCCATATGACATAAGCTTACCCTTCCAGTAGCTAAGTTTTTTTCAATTCGTTCTTCAATACATTTCCATTCTTTATTGGAGAGTTTACGGTGATGGATCGGTATACCCAAGTAACTGGATGGTAAGGCACCTGATTCGCATCCAAACAGTTGTCTGTATTTGTGTTCCTCGTCTTTGGCCTTCCCAAAGCAGAACACGTCGCTCTTATGAAAATTAATTTTTAATGCAGACAATTGTTCGAAGAGACACAAGATAAGTTTCATATTATGTGCCTTAGCCATGTCATGTTCCATGAACAGAATAGTGTCATCAGAATATTGTAGAATAGAAACCCCTCCATAGACAAGATGAAGAACTAGACCCTCTACATGGCCATGCTGCTTGGCCCTGCCAATAATGACGGCCAACATATCTGCTACAATATTAAACAGAAGATGAACATGAAATTCCCTTGCTGCAGCATATTTATCTCACTGTCCATAGCAAGTGAGAATCACATACTCTTGGAGGTGTAAGAGCATCTCCAGCTATTGGCCCCCTAGGGGTGCGTAAAATCGCCACCTGGGGGCGAGCCGGCGCAAAAAATTAGCCTGGGGATGAGTGGGTTCCCAGCCGCCGACCCCAAGGACGCCCCCAGACGCCGTTTATGTTTTAAAAAAATAGTATTCGGCAAAGTTTGGCTAAAATTCGGCTTAAAAAAAGGCCGGAACTACAACTAAGGGCCGAAGAAGTCGCTGAGCGCGGCGAAGTCGCCGCCGTCGCCGCCATCCTCGCCATCGTCGACGGCGGCCTTCTCCTCCTTGACGCGGCCGCCCCTGCTGGACCCTGCCCGGCGTCGCCATTGCGGACCGGGGGCGGTGGCGGCGCGTCGTCGTCGTCGTTGTCGTCGAGGACGACGACGCCTCCCTCGTCGCGTCCCCAACGCCGATGTTCAAACTGCTCTAGGGCGCGGCGCTGGCGCTCCATCTCCATGGACACCCAGTCATCGCGCACCCATTCAGGGTCGCCGCTTCGTCAAGCTCCCCGGCGTCATGCTCCGCTTTTACGGCCGCGAGCCCCGGCTCCATCTTCGGTTTGAAGATGCACGGAGGAGCCAAGGAGGAGGCGCGCCGGCCGCCCTCATTTATGACGATGTCGGCGATGCGAGTGCACCGGTCGAGCGGAGTCTCCGCTGCGGGCTCGGCCTTGACACCGAGTACCGCCAGCGAGCTGGAGGAATGGGAAGAGGAGCGGGAGGAGGAGTGAGAGGAGGAAGTTGAGGAGGAGCCGAACCTCCTGGGCATCCATTGCCCGGCGCTCCAGCGGTGGACCGGGACGGCCGCCGCGGCAGGGTATGCCAGCGGCGGGTCGTTGCCGCCCTCGAGGTATTCCAGCACGTCCTGGAGCGTGCGGTCGAGGGCGCCCCACCATACGCAGCGCCCCTCGCTGTTCTTGACGCTGTCCACCACCGGCGCCCCGTTGGTGGACGCCAGCCTATGCTCCTGGCGAAGCTGGAAGTACGCCGCCCACGACGCGTAGTTGTCGGCGGTGTACTGGGGGAGGGCGCACTGCTCCTCTGTCAGGGAGGCTCGCACGCGGTCGACCTCGACGACAAAGAAGGCGGGGCACGCCTCAACGTCGGGCACCGGGGGAATGGGCACACCCCCGTTGCTGAGCCTCCACCCCGTCGGCCCGGCGTGCATGTCTGGTGGCGCCGGGATGTTCGCCTAGAAGAGAAGCCAGGCCTCCCATTCATGGAGAGAGCGACGGACGAAGCCGTTGGCCGCCGCCGCATCGCCGGGAATCGCGCGGCCATCGGGCTTGGGAGAGAGGGAGAGGGGAGGGAGGAAGTTTCCGCGAGCGGCTGCGCACGGGGAGAGAGGAGAGCTGGGCGGCGGTCGATGGGCGGTTGTGGGGCTGGTGTGGCCAGAGGCGAGGGAGGCCACCGGTTTATATAGCCCGCGCCGCGTGCACGCGTGGAGGGAGGGAAGGCGTCGCCACGCCGCCCGTGACGCGCCGCTCGTGAGGAATCAATGGCAAGGCTGACCGGCGGCAGCCTTGCCATTGATTCCACGCGGGAAACCAAGGCGTTTCGATGACGACGAGGCGCGCGTCGTTGACATGGCGGGCCCACGGCTCTTTCGCGCCAAAACCGCTCGTCCTGGCGCCCCCGGGCGCCCCCCAGTCCGCCGGGTTCGGCCTGGGTCAGCCGGCGCTGATTTCGGCCCAAGCCGACAAAAAAGGGGCTCCTTGGGGCGCGACTGGGCCGTTTTTTCGGCGCCGGCGCGAAAAAATCGCCGGGGGGGGGGGCGTGTTGGGGGCGCGGCTGGAGATGCTCTAATCAACCAAATGAATAGAAGATTGCGAGGAACTCGGACAAAATGGCTGCTACTGCCAACTCCAGCGGGTCGACGCGTTCCGGTGCGTTTGTTTATGTTTGCGCGGATAAAAAAGCATGGGCCAACGCGCCAACACAAACAGACAGACGCCCCTTTTCAAGTCCACTTTAAAC